CCGGTACTAGGGTACTGGTACCTCTAGGTCTGGGCACCCAAGCTTTGAGTGCAGGCTGGCATTAAAGCCCTTTCAACTTCCCAAGTACCTCAGTCACCTTCCCAGAGCTAGGACAAAAATACTTAACATGTGAAACTTAAAGGAAGAGCGCTTTATATTGGCTAATGGCTTGCATCTGATTGGCTGGCACCAAGGCAAAAAGGGCATAATGCCAGGGCCTGGCATAGAAAAACCGGCCACTGCATGTAACCAGGGGAGGAGCAGATAGCAAGAGAAGGAGTAGGGGGCAAGAACACGCTCCCCCAGGTCACACCTCTGGTGACCCAAGTGCAGCCTGTCCACACCTCCGAGGAGCACAGGAAGCTGCTGAATTCTGGGATGAGCAGCACACTTCATGATCCAAAGAGCTTCCAAACACAGGAGATGCGGGGCGGCATTTCAGATGTAAGCCACGACACCGACGCAGCTCCTCAGCCCCGACTACATCCACGGACGTGGCTGCGCAGCTAGCTGCAGGTCTCCACACCCCGTCAGCCAAGTGGTGTCCCTGTCACCCCTGACTCCCCTGACATTTGACCCCATGGGCAGATACCCGTGGTCTCAAGGCCTCCATTCCCACCGTGTGACACTGCTGTCCTCCTCACCAGTGGAAAGGCGCAGTCTAGCCCTCCTTTGTGTCAGATTTTTCTACCTTTTGCAAAGTAGTCACACTAAAGAAGTATAAAAGATGCAGAGAGACTGAAAGGAAAAAAAAAAACAACTCAGAACCCCACCACTGAAAGAAGAACCCCACTCTTAATATTGGGGCTATTTCCTAACACTCCTTAAAGAATAAAGAAATGGGAAGATAGCTCAGTGGTCTAAGCACCTGCCTGGCAAGTGCAAGGACTTGAGTTCAATCCCTGGTACCACTTGCCACGCTGGCCCTAGAACCCTGGGTGAGCTGTGCCAGCCCCAAACCTGGGTGTGGTTGCGCATGCCTGTAATCCCAGTGCTAGGGAGGCTGAGACAGGAGGATCACTATGGTCCAAGCTGTATAGTGTGACCCTGTACCAAATAAATAAATAAATAAAATAATTTTGAAAAAATAAAGAAATCTTTACCCTCCTAATAGGAATCCTGGGGCTAGGGAGATGGCTCAGAGGAATAAGCACTTCCCTGGCAAGCACAAGGGCCTGAGTTCAATCCCCGGCTCTGCCAAAGGGAAAAAAAGAAAAGAAAAAATAAAGAACTTCTCTCCTTTAAGTGTAACACCAAGGCAAAACAAACACACAAAACCAGCAGGAATCCTGCTGGCAGATCTTAGACATTGCTTAGAAGTGTAAATGCGCTAGCACTTCAGGTCTCTGTGAGCAATATTCAACTCCTGCAACTCATTACTTTGGAATAAGGATTCACACCATTTCAATACAGAAAAATTGGAGAGGGGTTGCCTTTTTTCCCCAGTGCTAAAAATCGAGCCTAGGGCCTCATACATACCAGATGAGGGCTTGGCCACTGAGCTATATTCCCAGCTTTAAAAAAATGAATTTTTAAAATGTTTTACATGGGGTGTTCACCATTTGGTGCTACGTGACCTTTGAGCTAACATGATCTCCACGTGCAATTCCATCTCCAACCGCAGTGTCACAGCCCTGACCACTGGGTGACCACACGTCAGTCCATCCCGGTGATCACCCCCGAAACACGGCACCTAATGCAGTTTGGAAAAACTATCCAATATACCTCATCCTGTTTATAATAGTCACTTTTTATGGGAAAGGAGCTTATTTTGACCTCTTTCCAAATTCATGCATTCACTTAATAATTAAGAAGTAGTTATTCAACCAATGCCATGGTCTCCCACTCTACAAGGTTAGGGGGGACCAATCAGCCCCTCTGTGACAACTAGGAAGACAGACAGCAAGCCTTCAGACAAGGGGTGAGGAGGGGCAGGAGAATTAAGATTTGCAAGGAAATAGAACGCTAACAGAGGGCAAGAGGAAGGAATGCCCGAGTGAGATTAGGCTAGGAGATGCCTCCCACAGACATTCATTAGGGGTCAACTAGTGTCAGGCATTGTGACGGAATAAGATGAGAGATCTGATACCGACATCCGACATCCGAGAGAGGGGACTTGTAAGTGCCTCTGAGAAACAAGAAGTGGTTCCCTGAGGAAAAGGCCTGGGCTCAGAATCAAAGGAGAAAGGGAGGAAGGCTGTTTCCAGGTAAGGAGACCAGCTGCAAGCAGCAAAGCATCAGCCACCACATAACGGCAGATCCATTTGCCCACCGCATGGGATGAGAGGACAGAGAGGGATACAGAGCCACCAGAGGGGCTCAGTCCAGCTGGAAGCCTGGGACTGAGCCGATGAATATGGACTTCTTCACTAGGCCCCACTGGCCAAGTGCTGGTCAGACCTTGGAGCCCTGGACTTGGAATTTCTGGGATTATAATAAGAGGAGCTCTTGTCCCTCCCTTAAAGAGATAACAAGCTGAGAGACCAGATGCAAGCTTGAGACCCCTGATGACTCTACCTACTCTGTAGGTAGGATCCCCATGGCAACCCCTTGGGGCCCTCAGGCCAGTGTAACTCTCAAAGCAAGGACTGGTGTGTTCGGACTTTTACAATCCTTCTCTCTCTGTAATTTCTCCCAAGGCAAGAGGGGGCTACAGCCTCTCCACCTCCAGGTTGGGCTGAGAAGCCTCCAGCTGGAGCCAAAGTCCACCATCTCCTCCTCCCTCAGGAGACAGAAATTCCAAGTCCAGTGCTCCAAGGTCTGACCAGGGAGCCCTTTCAGAGTTCAAGCTGAGAGCTGGAGCTCAGCTGCTTCCTGGAGTCTGGCCTGGCGCCTGGGGAGCCCAAGCATGGCGACCTTTGCTCTGAATCTAGGGAGAGACCCAAGGACATCAGAGCCAAGTGGTGGCCGAGGCCATGGCCAAGCCCTGCTGCAGCCTCTCCCCCTTCTCGGGAACCTCTCCAGACTGAGCTCCTCCCAGAGACTCCGGATCTGCCCCAGCCCGGGTATCTCACCCTCATCTCCTATTCCCTGACCTTGTGCCAGGGCCTCCTGCTGCACCAAGCACACATTAACAGGTCAGTAAATATCTCTGTGATAACAAATAGCGTCGGCGCTCACTTCCTATTCACCACCTGTGCTTCGTGCTTCTGTCTTAATCTCTGTGTCTTTGAACCCTGTTATGAATATGGCCCCAGGAACAGATTACACACACACACAGCTGCCTCGCTTGAGGGGAGCTGTCCCTGAGTCTGCCGCAAGACGGTTGTAAACACCCAGGGCTTATCAGTCAAGACGCAGGTCCCTTTCCACCATCAGAGCCACGTTAATGTGTGCAGTTCACTCATTCACTCATCAAACATTTATTGAGGCCATTCTGCATGTCAGACACAGAGCTGGGAGTTCAGAATACAGAAATGAAAAGAACTCAAAAAAGACAGAAGCAAAATTATAGGAAAGTGTACAACACAAACATTGGTGCTGCAGTCTCCCCAGGGGGGCTCAGATGAACATACTTTGGGAACCACAGTGAGAGGCTAAGCTATTGATGAGAAAGTAATATGAATTAGCAATTAGGAAGACTTTAAAAATAAATCTATAAACGTAAATCCCCAAAGATTTCTTCCCTCCTTCCCTCCCTCCTTTCCTCCTCTATGTGCTGAGGATGGGACCCAAGGCCTCATACAAGATAAGCACACATCTCCCGCTAAGCTACAACCCAACACCAGGACCTATCTTCCTTTTCTTTGGGATTACATAGGCGACAGTTAGGGACAATGGCTGACCTCTACTACGTACCCCTTCATGTAGGTGCTGTGCTTTGGGCTTTACCGAGGGTAGAAAGAGGTGGAGATGGACTACTTAGGGGTATGGGCGGGGGCTACTGCTTGCTCCCGATTTTACATGTAGCTGCTTTCAGTGCCAGACAAGCTACACTAAGATAGAAAAGTTCAAAAGATAATTAAACCAGTTAAAAAAGCAAAACAGCACTGGGACTGAAGCCGGGTTTCAGAGCCAATTTCCAAGAAGTAATTTCATCATCATAGAACATCAAACGTGAATTCCACTTTCAGCTATGCAAATTCCAAAAGAATAATACCTCACATTTGCATAATGCTTGATGCTTTTCAAAGTGCTTTTCCCAGTTATTAATCTACGGAAGGCTTTATTACCACTGGAAACATCAATTGAAATTCTGTTCCAACTCCACTAGTTTTTCTACTTTCCCCTCAAAATCCAGAGCCACCTGAACCCAGGTGCTTCTGACAGAGTCGGCTAAATCTGCTCAGTGCATGGGACAGAGTGGCAATGCACCAACCCAGCACATTGTGAGGTCTTCGATCACAGAGCCGGGCTTAAGAAAATCTGCTGTTGAATTAACAAAACCACAGGGGAGCAACTTGTAGTTCAAGCTGGAGATTTTTTTCAGTATCTCAGACTCCACGTCAGCTTCATATACTATGCTCACTAGAGTCCATTCCCTTCTGTCAGATATTACGAAATTAGTTCTACCACTTTGTCCTTAAACGTGCAGAAATCCCTGTCAATGACTTCCCACGAAGGGGCCCATGATTGCCAAATGGCTCCTACATCTTTTCTGTTTTTAATGTAATATGAACCAAGAGGCCACATGTGCTATAAATCCAACGTGGAGAGAGGATCTTAGAAAAATGAGGTGAGAAGATACGATGGGGTATAAGGAAATATTTCTACCCAAATCTAATGCCTTTCCAATTTTCTTCTTTTTCTATCTCTTTCAAACTTAATTATGTGTAGCATTCTCAGTCATTGAATCACCAGCATTTCCTGACACTTCAATCTCACGCATTTTAGCAAAAGATTAACCTGGCTGTTTGCTTTTAATTCTGAAGCTGTGTTAATACTCAACTCCCTCTAGATTAGAAAAGAAGAAAAACACACTCCCGCACACCCACCCTGGCACCGGGAAAGTGCCACAACTCACATTTCTGCCCAGGCCAGAATGCCTGGGACTGACTTACCATTTCAGGAGGGCCATGAGAGCCACAGACAAGGCCACTGTCACCATGAGACCATTCACTTCCAGTCTGGGAAGCCCCAAGACTTCCATGGCTCCTCTGAGACCCCAGAGGTGTCGTCCCCCAAAGAAAAGAGGGTGACTGATGTCTCTGCTCCTACTGGAGCCCCGGTCTGCAGGTGGAAGAGGAAGAAATAGGCAGCCAAGAGCACATCACCTCAAGTGGGTCCCCAAGATGTGCTTTTTCTCAGAGTGCGACTTTATAAAGAGGAAGGAAGAGGAGGAGAAAACAAAGGGTTTCAGGGCAAAGCGATGAATCAGCAACTTTATTTTCTCGATGACTGTGCTGTCAATAAACATTTACGTTAACTTCCCCAGGCAACAACAGCAGACACACAGGCCCTGTATTGACTAAGAGGCGGAATGGTTGCAGCCATAGGCAACTATGCTGATCAGTAGCTCGCAAAGAGAGACCCTACTCTAAAATACACAGATGCACACTTCCCAGAATTCATAATTAAAAGATGGACAAAGAGATGACCCTACTTCCCCCAGAAAATTTGGGAGCTGGATATCAGGCTGATGTCTAGTCAGCTGCCCCACCAACTGCCTTTGTTCCTGGGTCTACTGACCCTCGTGGCTGGGAGGGGTCCTTGGTGCCCCGCTGTTGGAGCCACCACCGATCTGGTCTCTGGTTGATGTTCTCATTGTGAGAAGGAGGATTTCTTCAGCATTCTTTGTTTGAGCTCTGAGCTTCTCTGACTGAAATAGACTAAATCTTTTTTGTTTTGTTTTGTTTTGTTTTGTTTTTGCATATTACTCAGCATAGTACACCTTAAATAACGGGAAGGGGGGACCCAAGAGGGGGTTTGTTCATCTGATAGTCATCCACTCAGCCAACATGTAAGGGGCCTGGGCCCTGTGCTGTGTTTACAAACAGTGTTGGTCCTAAATCTGGAAGGATTTTCTTTAGACAGGGATAGACAATAAACGGGGAGACAAATAAAGCAGTGACTGCAAGTAGAGAAAAGCACTGGGCTGGTCACGAAGACAGGCTGTGATGTCACCAAGACTGTGCTGCCCAAAGGCTGTCTGAAGGAACAGCTTTTAGCTGAGGGCTTGTCAGGGAACAGCTCATCCTATACAGAGCCACCAGCAAAACCTCAGGCACAAAAGGAGACAAAGATGAAGGATCCATCGTGGAAAGAATTTCCCATGTTGCAACACTGCAGTGGGGCTGGATCCTGCCATCATTGTCTCCTTGCTTGGTGGCTGCTCTGTAAGGCAGGTGAGCTAGGGATAGGCTGATGGGGCTGGCATTCTTCATCTCTAGTTTTCAAGGCTGATTATTTTTCAGCTAGATCTTATTTTGGGAGAAACACATAGATGATGTTCTATGGGCTTTCGTGTGTGCCAATTCATTCAATCCACATGAACAAGTTTCAGAGGCAAAGCTCAAGGATTAGGCCCATTATACAGAAGAAGATACTGAGGCAGAGTGGTATGCCTCTGAAGCCAAATCTCTTCATCAAAAGGTTGAAGTCATCAATGTAAATGCAGCTTAGAAATGCAGAAGACTAGATGAGCTACATCCATATGTAAGACAGGAACCACATAGGAACCAAGTAGCTTCCTTGCTTTCAGACTGTTCTGCCTCTGTCCCCAACTGCAGGACCTCAGGTGGACCCAGGTGGCCCTGGTTGCAGCCCATCCCTTGTGGATTTCCCTGTCCCCAATCCCACCCAATCAGCACCTGCGCTAGGGTCTTAATGGAACTGTGTGTTCTCGCTCCTGCAATAGGACTCCCTCTGCATCTCCGCATGGCTCGATGCTCTCAGCCTTCAGCCCAAGAAGCCATTGTGAAGGTGACAGCAAATGCATCGGCTTCAGCCATCAGTTCAGTGAATGACCTTCAGTGTGACTTAATTCAGTGCAGGTATCCAACAACCACTCCGAAAATCTTTTTAAAGATTCCAAGGTGAAATAAACGTGAGATAAGCTGGTGTAAACATTAACCTTCAAGGATTTTTTTTTTTTTTTTTTTTTTTGAGACAGGGTCTTGCTATGCAGTTCACGTTGGCCTTGTGCTCACTTTTGTAGCCCCCAGGCTGGTCTTGAACTTGCAGATATCCTTCTGGCTCAACCATCCAAATACTGGGATAATCTGCAAATTTATTTCTTGTACAGTTTCTCAGAGACCTGCACCTGCTGAGATGTGTTGGGGACATCCTAGAGTGGGACAGGAGGGCTGCATTCTCCCATGTGCCCTTGGCCACAGTGTCCTTCAGGGATGCTTAACGACCCACCCCAGAATATGCTTTGAAAAATGTTGACCAGGCAAACTTTGTTGTTGTTGTTGCAGAACCGGGGATTGAACTCAGGCACTTGGCGCTTGTGAGGGAAACACTTATTCCACTGAGCCATCTCCCCGGCCCCAGGCAAACTGCAGAGGAGGCAACAGAAACCCAGAAAGAGAAAGTGGCTGGTAGGAGATCCATCCTGTCTAGTGCTGAAAGGCAGGTCTACATTGTGCTGACCTGACGCTACATGGAGATGGCACCCCCATGCTGCCCTGTGGGTGTGGCACTCAGCCCCAGGCCAGGGCCGACTGTGATGCAGATGCCTTAGCATGCTGGTGGCTGAGCCAGAGACCTGGCTTTGAGGGTTGCCCATCCTCCCAGGAGCGCTTAGTTCTCAGAGTCCTGCTTCTGACATCCCTGGAGCCCTTCCCAGGTGTTGTAAAATTTGGAGAAATCACAAGCACATGGGAGAGGTGCCCACGCCCTCTCTATGCCGGCTGTGAAGCAGAGACAATGCTCTGAGAACTGGGCATAGCACCTTAGCCAGGATGAAAGGGGAGGGTCGGACACGAGCGACCTGAAGGATTCTCACTGGGGAAGTGACATGATTAACGACATATTACAGTTTTGCTGTCCATGACACAAGGCAGGGACACTGTGGCAGGGATTTTTCCAGGATGAAGGGCAGACTGTTGCCATGATACCATACTTAAACAATTGGCCTTTAACTATGTTCTGGATATTTTTCTTTTAATAATATGTCTACTAAAAATAATCAACTCTACCGAGCTGAGTAGTAACTATCCAATAGCCTCACTCCCACAGACAGATGCCTGACACGTTAGTGTACCCGATGCCACCCTGCTCCTCCTGAGGCCACGCTACAGGCGAGTTGTAATGCACTTAGCCCAGCCTCTGTGGACAAACGTTGCTTCCACGTTTTCCCAACTTCAGAGAGTGCTTAGAAGTGGAACAGACAGGCCCAAAGGTTTGTGTTGCAAAGATGCTGGGAGACGCTGCCCTGAGCCTGCACAGCAGGCACCCACAGAGCCTCTCCCTGTCCACACCCTTGGATCCTATCTTTTTCTCCTCCTACCTCCAGGCAGACGTGTCCCCAGAGTTGAGTCAACTGTTTTGACTTAAGGCTTGTGTTTCTTTTTAAAGCCTTCACTCCATAAATTCTGTGGCATTTCCTTCATGTTCCTGTGTTTAAACACTGCCTATGCAGATGTCTCTGCTCTCTGGGAGGGTTCCCAGCTGCTCCTCAGTAAGACTTAGGTGGCAAGAGATGTCACTGGTACATTTACATCGCCACATGGCAGTGAGCAAAAGGACAGTGATGTGTCCTCAGCACTGCATGAGGAAAAAGACCTTTGATGCATTACTTTTTCTCCTCCCCAGAGTACCTCTTGGAGGAGCTGAGCATATTTTTCATTTCTGGGATGCAACTGTTTTTGACGCGGCTGTCCCACAACCATCTGAAATCAGACATTCAATACATTCTAGGGGCCAAGCTCAAGCCCCAATCTTCTAGTTTTAAACCCATGTCTTTTCCAATAAATCTGAAGTCCTCTTAGTTGAATGTATTCATAGTTGGAGGAGCGGGCCTGCGGTTGTGATAAGGTTTGGTATAGTGCTTGCCTCCCTCAAGCGCAGAGCTGTACAGGGATGGAAGACGAGGTTGGTGTGTGCCTGTGGTGTTGTTTTGCTGTTAGGTTTCTCAGTGTCATGGCAGAGAAGAAGTAAAAGAAAAGGATGGAAGGACCAGCCAAATAGTTCAGCGGATTAAAGAGCCTGCAAGCAGGTGCAGGGGCTGGCGTTCCATCCCTGGGCCTGCCATGCCAGCCCCGCCCCCAAGGCACCATGAGACAGCAATTGAGACTGGGTGTGGTGGTGCACTCCTGTAATCCCAGCTCTTGGGAGGCTGTAAACAGGCGGATCCCTACCAGTCCGATCTAGTAGTGTTACCCTGAACACGCTGTAGACCCTTCCCTAAAATTAAAAAAAATAAAAATAAAAATAAGAAATTAAGAAAGGGGGGCCGGGGAGATGGCTCAGTGGAATAAGTGCTTCCCTGGCAAGCACAAGGGCCTGAGTTCAATCCCTGGCTCTGCCAAAAAAAGAAAGAAAGAAAGAAAGGGGAGATGGCTCAGTGGAATAAGTGCTTCCCTGGCAAGCACAAGGGCCTGAGTTCAATCCCTGGCTCTGCCAAAAAAAGAAAGAAAGAAAGAAAGAAAGAAAGAAATTAAGAAAGAAAAGGATGGAAAAGGCCTTTACTGCCATTGAGCAGAACATGGAGAGGATTGATGTCAGGGAGGTGGGGAGATCCTTTGACCCGAGACAGGGAGGCTGAGACATTATGGACTTTTTTTAGGGGCGGAGCTTGAGGGGCGGGGTCAGTGACGCACAAGAAGCTGATTGGAGGCTTCCTTGTGCAGACGGGAAAGGCATCCGGGACCGGGGTGGGGTAGAAGAAAGAAATGGGCATGGGGAAGATAAGCTGTTATTTGGGGGATTCAGCCATGTTGAATCAGGGTCAAGATAATTTAGCAGTTTGTACTCAGCCCAGAACCTATCATTAAACCCTTGCAGAAGATTCTAGGGTTCTTGGAAGGTTGAAAACCTCAGCTACCCCAGTTTGGTGCAATCTCCTCAATGTTGCAAATACCTAAAGGATCTCTGTCCTGTTTTTGTGAGCATAGGATCAGGATAAGACGACTCACTTTTTCTTTCAGCAGTCAACAAACACTGAATAATAGTAGGCACCCGGCACTAGGATTAGAATCCCAACCTGTAAGATCCACATCTTGTGAACAGGGGTTCATCTTCCAGGATAGAGAAGTAAACTGAAAATAACTAAGTCCCGTTGATACCCATGAACTAGGTAAAAGTCAGAGGGCAGGAGGTTGGTGAAAGAGTTGAAGCAAACGATGCTGGAGCTTAGACA